TATGAATCCATTTTGTTATATCTATATAAGAGTTGGCAACATTTTATCCAGCTTCATCGGATGCAGTTCAGGAAGGGGTGCACTTGGTTCAGCCTGTGCGACCAGCCCCTGCCAAGCTCCAAGCCGAGCTCCGGCGATGCTTGAACATCCAGGGCGAGATCATGACAGCAAACCAGGCTGTACATGCAGGGAACTTTGCCGTTTCGGCAAAAGACCTGGTGGTTTTGCATCTGGATGGCCAAAGGCTTGTCGGCAGGGTGGGGTACCACATCCAAGCAGATGCATCTTGCTGGTCACATGTCACCCTCTGGAAGCACGTGCATGGAGCCATGTTCACCCTGTCGGAGGCTGTGGCCCTTGTAGAAACCAGGCATATACATGCCACATGTGCCTTCAGTGTGCAAGGCGACAGTGCTGTCGTTGTGCTGCCATGAAAAAGAGAGACCTGCCTGCGAGCTATGGTAGCCCTGCAATGGCGATCTGTGTGACCGTGAACAGCCCCTGCATGACAGCATAAATTCCAGACGGGTGAAACCACTTAGCTTACTTAGCTCAGTTACATAAGTGTACTTATATGGCACGATAACTGGACATAGATATCCATGCTAAATGAACTTAGCTAAGTCGGTCATCTCTTTTCATAAGTCCTATAATCGAATATCAACCTGGACAACCATTTCCTAAGCCCACCGGTCCTTTAAGTAAGGCCCTCTATGAGCTTCTTGGTGGCCGCAACCGTCAATCATCCGGGATTTATGTCCGCGATTGTGCCGCCACAGGAGGGAGGGCACGTAGTCCGGAAACACCGGGTAGCCCGCGTTCCGCCAACACATGGGACGCATGTCTCTCTTGAATTTCCAGTGCTTGTTGCTCAGCAAGCAGAGCCGACATGACCTTTGGGGAGTATCTCCACCCTTTGCCTTTAATGCAGGGGGAGCATCTTCTCCACCCTCTACTCCTTCCTGCCTCCTTTTAGGAGGAGGCGGTGGCAGAGTTGCTCCACCCGCAAGTAGTCTCTATATTATATATGAATCCTTGGGCAAGCCTTCCGCAGCCCGACGCGCTGAGTAGGCCGCGCGCGGTATGCGTCATCCTGCTCTGGCATCGCGCTTATTTCCACTGTTCAAGCTGAAATGACTCTGAGCTTTTTGCATGTAAGACATGAGTCTGTGGGCCTGAATGACCGAGTGCCGGGATCAAGCATCACCCTGACTGCGAGCTTAAGACAGCCTAAGCGTCTGAGGCTCTTTACCGGCGAGATCAAGAGAGCGCAGGACTTTCTCGTGCATGCTAACAGAAGCTTTTTAGCTTGATATGCGCTTAAAGCCAAAGAGGCTAGTCTAGACTATACTGAATCCGCAATCCGTGAAATCCACCAGCTCTTCGACTGGCAGATTTTTCAAGTGACGGGCACGGACGACTATCAAAACCAGCCGATCTCCAGGGCGCCAACTTGGAAGAGTCCGAAGGGGGCGCGCTACACAACCACGAAGTGACGTCTACGTCGGCTGTGGTCAGAGTCGAGTTCCTCAGCGAGCTCAAGGCGCAGAACCATAAGAGAAACTCCAAGAAGCATTGGAAGACTCCGGACAAGTCTGACACCCGCCTCAGAGCGGAACAAGATGTCCCAACAGATGACCGGCTGTCTATGCAGCCATTCCACACCCTTCTCGACATCCTCGGCGAGCTGGAAGACGAACCTAATTTTTAGGTCTGGCGACAAACGACAAATATGGTCCTCGAAGAAAGCCACGGACCAGCGCATGCTTGCGCAGGTCGTGTGCGTATTGGATGCAAGACACTCCAAAAGATGTTGCTGCCTCCTTTTACTGTGTGAGGAACACTACACGGCCATCCTGGACAGATGGCACAGCACCTAGATGGCACAGCACATGAGATCGACCATGAACCTCATCCAGGCACTCCGACGCGCAGTGACCGCACCACTACAACGAGACCTACCTAGGACAAGGCCTTCAATGTTTGGAATGTGGCGGCGTTTCCCCACCATAGTTTTCAATGCTCCATTTTCCCAATGAGGATGGGGGCAGATTTGGCCAAGCTGCTGGAGAGCCACCCGTTGCTTCCCTTTCAAGGTGTAGGTGGGTTCCTTTCCCCAACCCAACAGGCTTTTCAGAGGACGGAGTTATTTCGGAAGCAAAGGTTCCAAAGGCTCCAAGGACAACAAGCCCCGAACCCCCCAAAACTCCCAAAAGTAAATCAAGTGGAAAAAGCTTTTGGAAAGAGAGAGACCATGAACTACCGAACCGTTTGGGAACAGTGAGAAATGGGTCGATGACCTCCATTTCAGAGAAAATTCATCCAATTGGAGGAGCTCGCACTTTCTAAAAGGAGGAAGAGTGGTCCATCCTGGACCTGTTCCGACGATCAATATTTGCGGGTTTCTGCACAGAAAGGACAGTTATTCATAGTGCCTAGAAGTTGGGCGCAAAGGTGATCTGCTACGGAGAGACAGTAATGGGCTTAACTGGTATGTGACTTCTTTGTAAGCCTGGAAATGTGGATTGCTGGGGAGCAGTCGTGGCAGAAGAGATTGTAGCTTAGGCACATGTACATGCCAAAGAAATGAACCTAATGGACCATGGAAGCTTCTACTTGGTGTCTTTTTTACCGGAGTCTTGCCTTTTGCCTTTATTCTGACTGGTGCTCTGTCGTTGGTTGGAGGGCCAGTTTGAACTCCAGCTCTGGTTACCTTGGCAACCTCACTTCGGGCCCCAATTCCAATCATCACCATCATCTGGGTCTTGACCTGTAACTTTATCGACTCGATGCAAACCCTCATTAAAGATTACAATCTAGAGAATTTCAACCCACAACAATGGGCTGCTAACTGGCTCTCCCAACTTACAAAACCTCAAACAAAGACCTTACTGCCCGGAATTTATCAACAGAGTTAACTGTTACGGTCCTCTCAATGATTCCATCCTACAACAGACCTTCTACATTGTTGGTTTGCAGATTTCCTAAACGATCTCTGAAAGTATCTTCCAAACAATTCGAGCTTGAGAAATGAGCAGCTACTTTTGATATAGCACACTCTCCTTTATTGCCATGGTCCGAACTCATCGCCAGCTCGTATGCATTAGCGTATGAGCACGTCCAGCACTATTGACAGCCAGACCAACCAATGGGAGCCGCTTTCTGCCAATATCAAAGTCAAAGATTCCATGATGTTGCCTTTGTTGACAGAGAATGTTTCGAGACTTGAAGTTGCGTGGTCTTAGGGTCCTTGGCTACTCCGTGCGCCTGCGTTGGTGTAGGAGCCTTTAATCAGAGAGAGAACCTGTGGGTCGCCATCAAGGAGTCCGGCCGCTTTCTCTGCGAGGACGCTGGAGCATCCAACCTAAAACCTTTTTGCCCATGTAAGAGTTGGAGCTTTCTCCAGCAGCACAAGAACACCAAGCTGCCTTGGGTAACTCAAGAATCAGTTTGCTGACTATTTCTTTTGATTTTTGCTGCTTCTGTTTTCTTTCTCTCTCGGTCTTGGACCATCTCGTCAGCAGCACGAATGATAGCAGGCTACCTTTCTTTCCATATGTTCCTCTTCTTTTCTTATTCCTGCTCCTTTCGGTTTGCCTCTGGCCCCAGACCCCAGGGCCGAAACACATACTCACTAATATCCATTGCAGGTTAAAGACAGAATGACATTACTGCGGAACACTTGCATTGGTAAGTTGAGCCCTTGGCGCTTCTGGGGGCCGAATCGGGCCGAAGTTCGGGCAAGTTCGGGTTGGGGGGGCAAACGAACCCAAAGGGTTCAGCAGAGTATCTTTTGTTACCACACAGCTTTTCAAAGTCTCCTTCATGACCGCAAGTCATAAAACACTCTTTTTGAGCCTTTTGAGCCGTTTAAGGTTTAGGCTAGGGTTTTAAGGTGTAGGGTTTGGAGTTTAAGGTTTAGGGCAATGGTTTAGGGTTGAGGGTTTTTAGGGTTGATGGCTGGGGGCACGGATACGCTACCAGCATGAAAAGGAGTGGGTTAGGGTATGAAAAAGAATGTTTTAGGCCCAACCCAACTTGGAGGCCTCAGGTGTATGTCATTGTTGGCGTGGATCCTAAGCCCTCATCCTTACACCTGTAGCACCGCAGCCCACCTCCACGGATCACCACCATGCCGACCACCGCCACCACCTTCACCAACAAAAAACCTTCGGAACTCAAACAACCTTCATCTTGCACCACCATCCCTATTTGAGGATCCTTCTCGACTTCCTTCAGGGACTTGGGGTTTAGGGGTTAAGTTATATCGGCTTGGGGCTTGGAGTAGACGCTTCCAACAAGCATCAGCGCTGAGATATGGGCAGCTGATTGTCGGAATGCTTCAAACTGCTGCAGCAAAAGGCCGCATGGTCTCC